ATATATATATATATATATATATATATAGTTTTAAACCTAGCTTGGTCGCTTTTGTGGCTTCATGTGACATGCTTAACCTGGAGGCTGTCGGTCACTCCATGCATTTTGCAGAAAAAATGGGCTCCAGCAGTTGTCTAACCTTCAAAATATTTCCCAAACGACACTACTGAAAACACTGCCTTCTCCCCAAATAAACAGGCCCCAGAATGTTTCTTTGGACAAACCGAACTGCCACTGTTAAATTTCATGTTCTTATTCCTCCAAAACAGGATTCTTTACATCAGGGACAACAATGTTTGCTTGTAGGGACCTGTTTTTTTTTTGTTTTTTTCAGGTAGACTCAGAGCGCTAGATGGAGATCCAGCTAGTTGGATCAATGTTGCTTCCCCCCCCTCACCCCCGCTATTTACAAAGCTGGCTGTCTTGGGAATTAAGTCCCTTTGATGAGTTTGCAAGGAGATGCATTAAGAGCAAGAAAATTTCCCCCAAAGAATAACCAGATCAGGCCAGGGAAAGAACAATAAAAAGAATATCAGCTCCTAAGAGCCCAATAAAGAAGAGCGAACTTCCATCTCTAAATCCTGGTTAGACGTTCCGGCTTTTTGTGAGCAAAATGTTTTTCTTGTAATCCTCTAAAAGGAGACTGGCCAATTGCCAAGCGCTGTGTCTTAACTAGTTAGCAGATTTGGCGGTTCACCGCATTTAATGGCAGGTTCCTATGCGTCACTCCCTTAAGACCCAAGGGGGCAATTTCAGAGGGCGCAGCGCACAGAGAGCCAAATCCTGCATGGCCGGGCTGAGGTGGACTCTACAGGGGGTCAGTCTTAGGGGTCAGTCTACACAACAGACGTGGCTGGTTTCATGGAGCTGAGGGCATCCGAAGGCTGCTTTGCATTTCAGGTAGCGTTGCCTGGAATCCATGTTAATCTTGGAATGGGTTGAGTTTGGTGCTTTTAAAATGATTTGATATGGCTTTTAATTTAATTTTTTTTTTTTAAATTTAAGCCGCCCAGAGTTGGATGGGCAGGTATATACATGTTTTAAATAAATGGATAAAATGATAGCTAGCTAGATGGATGGATGGATGGATAGGTAGATGATTGATATAGAGATAGATAAAAGATAGATATAAGATGATAGAGACATGGCAAGATAACAAGATAGGTAGGAAGTTAGGTAGATGATAGATAGATAGATAGATAGATAGATAGATAGATAGATAGATAGATAGATAGATAGATAGACAGATAGATAGATAGAGAGATAGCAAGATAGATATTGTTGGTAGGTACTGTATGTATGTATGTGTGTGTGTGTTTGGTGTGTGTGTATACACACATGTATACATCAAGAGAGAGAGAGAGACTGTAGATAGATAGATAGATAGATAGATAGATAGATAGAGAGAGAGAGAGAGAGAGAGAGAGAGAGAGAGAGAGAGAGAGAGAGAGAGAGAGAGAGAGAGAGAGAGAGAGAGAGAGAGAGATAGATAGATAGATAGATAGATAGATATAGATACATAGATCAACAGACAGATAGCAAGATAGATAGATGATAAATATAGATAGATAGATACTGTGGATGTATATAGATACAGATAGATAGATAGATAGATAGATAGATAGATAGATAGATAGATAGACAGACAGACAGCAAGATAGGTAGCAAGATAGATAGATCGATAGATGATAGATATAGATAGATATTGTAGATGGATATAGATACAGATAGATAGATAGATAGATAGATAGATAGATAGATAGATAGAATGATAGAATGATAGATAGAGACATAGATCAACAGACAGATAGCAAGATAGATAGATGATAGATAGATAGATGATAGATAAAGAGAGAGAGAGAGAGAGAGAGAGAGAGAGCATAAGGTGACTGGGGATGATGAACAGGGAATTATCCATAGAGAAATGACAAAGCTCCCCTTTTTGGCTACTGTTTTCCTGTACAGCTGTGACTATCACAGGCTCAGAGCGCAGGTGGGAAACTACGGACTCACCTTTGTCAGTTCCGTTTTGGTGCACTGGGGAAGACACGGGATTTCTCGACCGAGCGAAGGCGCTCATAAGAGGTAGGGCTCCTGGCCGGTGATTCCTAGGCCTGTTATGGGAGAGAGAGAGAAATCAGAACATGGTTCTGCTCTGTGACCAAACAGGGGGGAAGATACCTAACTCATCTTTCACTTCAAGCTTCCTGCAGAGGGGTACTCTGTTTTTTGCATGAATTGTATTTTTGTAGGAGCAGATTAAGTTCCACATCTGAGTCAGGCCAGGGATGGGCCAATCGATTAAGATGTTAGTTAATAATTAATTGGAGGACAATTAATCAGTGGAATGACTTGCCTCCAGAAGTTGTGGTGCTCCATCGCTGGAGGTTTTTAATAAGAAATGGGACAGCCATTTGTCTGAAATTGTAGAGGGTCTCCTGCTGGATCAGGGGTTTGGACTAGATGACCTCCAAGGACCCTTCCAACTCTTTCCTTCCTTATCCATCTTTCCTTCCTTCCTTCCTTCCTTCCTTCCTTCCTTCCTTCCTTCCTCCCTCCCTCCCTCCCTCCCTCCCTCCCTCCCTCCCTCCCTTGTCCATCACTGGAACTTTTTAAGAAGTGATTGGACAGCTGTTTGTCTGAAACGGTATAGGATGTCCTGCTTGAGCAGGGGTTGGACTAGAAGACCTCCAAGGTCCCTTCCAGCTCTGTCGTTCTGTATTCTATTGAACACTGTAGAAGAGAAGAACAAATTGAACAGGCTTACCAATCTTCAGGGTCGCAATCCCGGAACCCTTTTGCAAATGGATTGCTGGCGATCTTAAGCTGGGTTATCTGAAGGAGAGAATTAGAGACACGGCTTAAAGAGTCATTTTATACGATCTCCTTGCCCCCGTTGGTAAGTGAATCACTGCAGTTGATAAGTTTGTAACCCAGTTGTTAAGTGAATCTGGCTTCCCCCATTGACTTTGCTTGTCAGAAGGGTGCAAAAGGAGATTACATGACCCTGGGGCATTGCAACGGTCATAAATAGGAGTCAGTTGCCAAGGGCCTGGATTTTGACCATGTGACCACGGGGCGGCTGCAGTGGTCGTAAGTGTGAAAAATGGTCCTGATTCACTTTTTTTTTCAGTGACATTGTAACTTTGAACGGTCACTAAACAAATGACTGTAAGGCAGAGACTACCTCTATTTACATGTAGCTCTTTTTAAAATTGCCACGTTAAACTTTACTGCTTTTGAATGTCCGCCCTATGGATTGTCATCTCAAGTTTCTCAACTTTAAATTGTGTCGCTGGTTAACCTTGTAAACTCTGTAAACCGCTTAGAAAGGGCTGTAAAGCACTATGAAGTAGCATATAAGTCTGAATGCTATTGCTGTTGCTATTGATTCAGCCTTCCATCCCTGTGAGGTGGATAAAATGAGGACCCAGATTGTTGGGGGCAAGAGGCTGACTCTGTAAACCGCTTAGAGAGGGCTGTGAAGCATTGTGAAGCAGTATATAAGTCTAAGTGCTATTGCTAGTACCCTTCCCTCCCTTCCTTCCTTCCTTCCTTCCTTCCTTCCTTCCTTCCTTCCTTCCTTCCCTCCCTCCCAGTGGTTAGAATGCAATATTGCAAGCTAACTTTGCCCACTGCCAGCAGTTCGATTCCCACCAGGCTCAAGGTTGACTCAGCCTTCCATCCTTCTGAGGTCAGTAAAATGAGGACCCAGATTGTGGGTGCAAGAGGCTGACTCTGTAAACCGCTTAGAGAGGGCCGTGAAGCATTGTGAAGCAGTATATAAGTCTAAGTGCTATTGCTAGTACCCTTCCCTTCCCTTCCCTTCCCTTCCCTTCCCCTCCC